CTTACTATCCCTGGATGACCACTATGCAGTTCCTTCAGAACATTTCCTCGAAGCTCCTTGGGTGTCACAACCCTTTCGGCCGATATCAGACATTGCTCCACGACTGACAATGTGTCTCTTCGATTTCGAAAATGTGCCAACTCTCCATTTACGTCTGGCCATTCTCCTTTCTTCACAAATGTCAGTACTCTTTTTAGTGCTGGATCCTTCTTCGTATAGGACTGCACATCTGACACCGTCACTGGCAATTTCCTTATGCAGTTCTTCAACACGAAGTTCACGTCGTTCTCAACGGCAGCTACCACGACGTCTTCTTCGGGGTTCTGAGTCTTCTTCATTAACCGTGACAAACCATCTGCTTGTCCAAACTTCGTAGTCCTGACATACTCTATGTCGAAGTCATATCCTAACAAGACTGTAGCCCATCTCATGAGTCGGTTAGCGGAGTAGACTGGAACTCCTTTCTTATCACCGAAGATGGCTAGCAGTGGTTGATGGTCCGTCAGAAGTAGAAACTTTCGTCCGAATATGTACTTGTGGAATTTCTTGACAGCAAAGACAATTCCCAATGCTTCTTTTTCGATCTGCGAATAGTTCTTCTCCGCTTTCGTAAGAGACCGCGATGCATGTGCAATTGGCTTTTCGGATCCATCGGCAGATCTATGCGATATCACGCATCCGATCCCATAGTCGCTAGCATCCGCTGCCACGACAATCTTCTGCCTTGGATCATAGTGAGCAAGGTTCAGCTCACTTGACAAACTCTTCTTGAGCTTTTCGAATGCTTCTTGATGTGATCGAGTCCATTCCCACTTCGAATCCTTCTTCAGCATCGCATCCAATGGCCCACGGAGATCCTTGATCTTTGGCATGAATGCAGCATAGTAAGTTACCATGCCAAGGAAAGCTCTTAACTGACTGACATTCTTCGGCTCATCCATACTCTTGATCGCTTCGATCTTCGCTAAGTTCGGTCTTCTGCCATTTCGATCCACTATGAAGCCAAGATATCGTATCTCTGGCTTACCGAAAGAACACTTCTCTACTCAGACACTCGCACCGGCCGGCGGCCGTTCCACGACCGGCCGGTCCGCCACCGACATTTGGCCGGGACGGTCGCGAGCCGGCCGCCAGCCGGAACTCGAACGGCCGCCAGCCGGTACCCGTACGGCCGCCGGCCGGTATGCGTCAATGACGCAACAGAATAGCACTGGGCCACAGTATTTTTTTCTCTATCTACCTTTCATTCAGCTCTGTAACCTTAATATGGGGTGGTACGAATCTACGACAACATACATATTTATTACAGCCAGAAGATACAATGCAAAGAGACATTGAACAAACAACAAACATTGTCACATTGTACACATATGCATGAAAAATACATTCAAAACTAAAGAGCTAGATTTGATGCAACTTGTTCACATATCGTTAAACAACCTTTCCGGATTGGCTAGGCTAAAAGGTCACATAAATTTGTTTTGTACTTCTCCACATTCAACCGTTGATAAGCCGCATCCGATAATCTGTAAATAAAATAATCTATTGATATTTTTTAACTTATACCAGAACTTACAGCTATGCATAGAGTAGCGATAACGTCTGTTAGCAGAGCACTATCAAAACATGCGTTCACAGGAGATGGTTAAAACAGATTATCGTATCGGTCCCTAGAAAACACTGGGTAGTTTCAATCAAATCTTAGTCAGAGAAAACTTACATTTTTTGGAGTGCTTCGAGCAGCCGTAAGCAATCAGATTAGCAGAAATGCGGTAGTATATCACATAGTGACTTAGCAGAAACCAACAGATTAACGATCTTCAGATGAATTAGAATACTCAGCAAAGTAGGAATAGTCCACAATTCGCAGCATTGAGGATTATATAAAGGAGGAGCATTCATTGGCCATATTCGTATTCACGATTAACAGTGTTTTGTAATCACGAATAACAGTGTTAAACTGACAGCGGTAAACCATTCATTGTATCCATCATAAAAGCAAGAACCCAAACACAATGTATTGCAGCTGTCTCCTAAAAAAAACTTGTGGACGTCTAGTTTGTACTTCCTTAGTTTGTACCCAAAAGGTGTTGCGACACTTACCTAGAATTCACGTCACAGCAAATAGGCATGAACTCACTGACGTTCGGCTTTTTCGCCATTCAAGTCAAAATAAGCAATAATATAGAAAGAAGTGATAACGAACACCATGGAGTTTGATCAAATCGGAACAGAAATGAATGAAATGAACGGAATCATAAAATGGGATATATCAACTATCATCGGACAAAGAAAGTGACGCAACCGAAGTAGAAAACCCCAACAATAACAAAGGAAAATTAACAGAGAGAAGTTTTCTGCTTAGCAGACACAACGCGCCCAATGTTTGAAATTATTTTCTTACTGTACGCGCCTTCTTGTGCGCTTTCCGAGCTTTTGCACAGTGTAACGGCCGCCGGCCGGCGTTATTCACTAGTCCGGTGGCCGGCCGGCGTTTGGCTCCGCCCAAAATGATGGAAAGGCCGCCGGCCGGTGCGAGTGTCTGAGTAGACGAATTTTGAATCCGTATTCGTCGATTCTTGCAAACACAGCTAACAGATTCTCCATGTGTTCTTCTTCTGTTCGTCCACAGACCAAGATGTCGTCCAGGTAGGTTGCTACTCCTCGTAGACCATTCACCATCTTGTTCATGATTTGCTGGAAGATCCCTGGTGCTGTCTTGATTCCAAAAGGCAGTCTTTGTACTGGTAGAACCCTCTATGCGTATTTATTACAACCATTTTCTTCGCTTCGTCTGACAACTCAATCTGCAGATAGGCGTCCGACAGATCCATCTGCGAAAACACCGTGCCTCCATTGAGGGATGCGAATATATCCTCCTGCAATGGCAACGGGTAATCATACGACTCCAGCGCTTTGTTGAGTCCAGTTGAGAAGTCAGCACACACTCTCAACTTTCCATTGGCCTTTCTGACGCATACGATCGGAGCTGCTCACTCACTGTGCGTTACTGGGCTTATGACGCTTAGCTCCAACAGCCTATCAAGCTCCTTTTCGACGGCTTCGAGCGCAGGATGGGGGACAGGTCTGCAAGCCTTGATTACTGGGCGAACGTTTTCGTTAACTCTCAAGTGCGCTTTCTTTTTTGTGCAGAGTCCTAGACCTTCTTCGCAGACTTCTGGGTAGGTTTTCTTTAGCTTCGTAGCGATGTCGCTGGTTTGCTCTGCCTTCACTTCGGCAACCATTCTGCTTAAGTGATAGGACATATCTTCGTTTTTCTGGATCCACTCTAATCCTGGGGGGACGAGTGGCGTAGTGGTATGAGGCGCCGCTATGACCAGATCGGACGCAGGTTCGATCCCCGCCCCTGGGCCAACCAAGCCCTCTACCCTCCGGGGCCGGTAAATTGGTACCAGAGTAATCTGGGAGGATAAAAGCACTGACTTGGAAACGGCTGGCCCCCGCAAGTCACTGTAATAGGCTCGCACGCATACAATTGCCTCTTCGACCATGAAGTTAGTGTGTGCGTTCGGCGCATGCCCTCCGAGGGTATTGAAGACGCCGAATCCTTTATCCTTTATCCTTTACTCTAATCCTAGCAGTGAGTTGTGGGGCGTCACGTATGCGTAGCCTTCGCTTCTGGATCCTTTGATTTCGTACCCACACCATAGCTTTCCATGGACTTTCATGGAGCCTCCACTAGCGTTCTTGACGATCACGCTTGTTTCCTCCAGCAGTGGAGCACCCATGCTTCTCCAGATTGCTTCGTTTAGCAAGGTGATATCTGATCCTGTATCCAGTAAGAAACTAACTGGATGACTATTAACTTTCACTTCCACATATACGCGAGTCGAATTCACTTCCATTATTGCATTCGCAATCTTCGCAACACTATGCACTTGGCGTTTTGGTTTCGTCCAACTTCTGTTTTTGCTGGTATCGCTGCTTCTGTGGATTCTTCGTTTCGAATCTTGCTGAACAAGTGCTTTTTTCTCCGTTATGAGTCGCTGCCTAATTTCGGCTTCTTTTTGGCTCTTCAGGCCAAAATCCATAGGAGACATTTGATTCCATCGCTATCCAAATCGTGGATCTTCGCTTTCTCGCATAGTTTGTTCACTCGACCGGTATACATGAGGTAATCTTCGGAATCCGCCTTCTCCAGTTTCAAGCACTGGTATCGCATAGTGAACTCCGAAATCTTCACATCGAACAGCTGCTTCAACGTTTCGACGGTTTCTTCGAACTTGATCGCGGTCACCTCCTTCGGTAGCACATGCCTCTGGTATTTTTCGAAGCTGTCCTTGTCCAGTTTCTCGCAAAGTAGCCTCACCCTCGCACTTTCCGTGAGCTGTTTCGCGTCTTCGACAAAGACCTCCTTGTAGCGCGCATACCATTTACTGAAGCACATGTCCGCTTCGGGATCGAAGTAGAATTTTTCGATCCTATTGCTGAGGGCGGACATCACGTTCGGGATTTCGACTGAGGTACCGCTTCGTCCAGTACCTGTGATGTGCTTCAGAAGCTCCATCATTTCTCTTCGTTCCTCTCTCATCTCCTGGAGCAAGATCAGCAATTCTTCTGAGCCCATCTTCGCCATGCTGATCTATGAATTCGATTTGACCGCAATCTCCTCTTCGCTTCGATTTCCTCGAGCTTCGTTGGTTCGGCTACTTCTTCGACTAGTAGCCGCCGCTCCTGATCGCCACTGTTGTGTCCTTCACGTCGGACACGTCGACTCTTCGTCCTGAGGCAGCACACGAGGAACAGAGAATATTTATTAGAAAATAATAGAACAGTCAAAAATAAGAGAGGCAGATGAGTGAACAAGCGAACTGACAATGGCTAACAGCGAGCGCCTTTTATAGCGCTCATTTCCCGCGCATTGAGGTCGCAGGCGCCTCAGCGAGGGCAGATCATACGAGAAAACAACTGATCAGACATTAACATAACAAAACTAAAAAAAAACCCCCCACCGAAAAAGAATTCGTTCCGGTCGGTGGTCACGCGAACCATGCCTTCACCTGCGTGATAATCTCTATGAAGGTCTCCACCACGTTCCCCTTCTGGAGGAAGTGGTGGAGCAGCTCTTCCTCCTCCTCCGGGTGCAGGGCGCGGAGCTTGGCCCTGTGCGCTTCGAGGGCCTTGGGCAGCACCTCGTGCACTGCCCGTAGATCCTCACCATGCGGGTGAGGTTCTAAATATACGTAATTTAAAAAAAATTTTCTATATAAAGATGAATTAAAAAAATTTTTTTCTCCTAATTTCAATCAAAATTATTTTTTTTTCAAAATAAACACACCCTTTCGTGTTGCTTGCACAGGGCCTGCGTCTCCTTCAGTTCGTTGGCGTGCAGGCCTCTGCTCCATTGCAGAGCATCCACCTGCCTCCTGGCGACGCTCAGCTCCCCTTCGAGCTGCTGGATTCTTCCCAGAGACTGAGTTGCATTCAACTCAGCCCTGACGGTGGCGTTATATAACGCCACCGAATCCACACGCTCTCCCAGAGGAAGGAGGACTAGAGGCCTCCACATCCTCTCCGAAACATTCAGGCTGAAAAAGCACACAATAAAGTGGGATCGAAGAAAATAAAATAAAATAATCTCAATCTTTTTCTTCCGATAAATCAAGATAGAATAAAAATGAGATTAAATAATCTTTTGCATTTTCTTTTCGAAAACCACACTACAGAAGAAAATATTAGGTTGTCAAGAAAATAATGTCCGTTTTTATTTGCTTACTTTAACAAAGCAACCAGACTCAACCCAACAAAGGATAATGGGTACTGTGCGATAGAGCAAAGCAAGCTCTACAAGATGGCGCTCATGTCTTTGCGCCATGCTCGATCCACGGAGAGTTCGAACTCAAAATCTAAAAAATTCCATAGGCCCAAAAAATCGAAAAAAATCAGATCTTCGTCCAAATAATTTCTACGGACCTCCCACTCGCTCACATCAATACTATCGATATCTAATATCCATATGTGCGATTGCCGTATTTTTTCCTTGACTAGAAACTGAGAAAACGAAAATTTCCCTGATTTTCTCAAAGCAATGCTGAGCCGTTTTTGCATATGTAGTTCTATACTACAAGCCTAGGTAAGCATAAATGTAGGTTTTCAGCCTATTTCGAGCGGTACTTTTCGAGAAATGTCGATTTTAGCACTGAAACTGAAACGAAAAAATCCGAATTCGTTATTTTTCGAAAACTACCGCTTGGAATGGGCTGAAAATCTACAGTTATACTTATCTAGGCTTGTAGTATAGGACTACATATGCAAAAACGGCTCAGCATTGCTTTGAGAAAAACAGTGAAATTTTCGTTTTCTCAGTTTCTGGTCAAGGAAAAAATACGGCAATTGCACATATGGATATCAGATATCAATAGTATTTATGCGAGCGTGTGGGAGGTCCGTATAAATTATTTGGATGAAGATCTGATTTTTTTCGATTTTTTGGGCATTTGGAAATCTTTAGATTTTGAGTTCGAACTCTCCGTGGATTGAGCATGGCGCAAAGCATGAGCGCCATCTTGTAGAGCTTGCTTTGCTCTATCGAACAATACACATTATCCTTTGTTGGGTTGAGTCTGGTTGTTTTGTTAAAGCAAGCAAATAAAAACGGACATTATTTTCTTGACAACCTAATAAAACGAAATGATTTTTTCTTCACTTCCAAAAGAATGAAATAATTCTTATTCTTCTCTTTCGATCAAATAAGATAATCTTGATTTCCTTTTTTTCTTTCTCTCTTTCAACGAATTAAAAACAATTTTTTTCTCCTCCGAAAAGCATATATTAGGTTGATTCATAATTAATGCACGTTTTTTAAAATTCATCTTCAAAGCGCCGTAATTCTTTTCCCACATCATCTTTCAAAGAGCAATAAGAACTGTTGCAAAGAGCAAATCTTTGGCTTTACAACACATACTTTTGTTTTTAGATAAAGGTGACGAGAAAGTTTGTACAGTCCGAAAAATGTCAGGAATTTTTTTTTGAAAACCTCTACTTTGAGAAGGCATAACTTACTCTTAAAGGTAGTAGGAAAGCGCAAACCTTGCTCATTGCGCAACCAATGGTGAAGAGAGCAGTGGCAAAAAACTCGGATTTTACGGTGTTTTTCTACGACGAGATACTGCGAAAAATTCAAAAGTTGTCATTTTTTCTAGCCTTTTCAGAAGAGCGAAAAAATGTCTTTTTTGAGAATTTTCAAAATTTTTGCCATTGCAAAGCTGTAAAATTTCAACGTTTTTCTACCACTCAATGTGCTATGTCTATTCTTTATGTACGAAGCAAAATCGCAGTCATTGGTTCTTGTTTCAAAGTTTTATACGACTTCGAAAGGCCACAATGACCGGCCCAGTTTGTGGTTGAATCTCTCATCTCAAAACTTTTGCAAAATTCAGCTTTATAGAGATTTCTATAGCAGAAAGCTTCGCGATTGTTATGCATATTTTTTGAAATCAACATCTTTTGTTCTCATGAAATTAGAGCAAAAAGAATGAAAGGAAAAAATTTCACGTTTTAGTCTCTCATATTCAGAAGCATGGAATTCGGTATCATACAGAGTGTCACGAAAAAGAAAGGATACACAAGAAACTAGAAGGAACGCTCTTTCAGATAGCATTGAAATTTTTGGGAAAGATTTAGTATCTTTGAAATTCCAGCGCTTGCAAAAAGAGGTGACAAAAACGTGCATTGATTATGAATCAACCTAATATTAGGTCGGTGCAAAAGTTTTGTCAGCTTTTTCAATCCATTGGCAATCACGCTAGAATGAAGATAAACAAAGACTTCAAAATGTATTCGATGCAGAATTTCTTCCTCTTTCCAGCAGCTAAATTCCCATTGTGTTTCGTTGCGAGAGTGACGAGATATTTGCTGCAAATTACAACCACTCGTTTTTACCATGTCCAACTTTCGCTAATTTTTAATTTTTGTATGAGACTTTCGAAGGAGCCCTGATAGCCAGCAGATAGGGCTAACCTTTTGCCAACTTATGCAATTTTTCTTTTTATCAGCTGCTTTTCCAGAATTTTGCTAAGTAATTTTCTAAAAGTCTTGTGTTTTGGAAAAATTGCATAACCTGTTATTGCACCAAATACTGCAAAACCTACAGAAAACTGAGGTTTTAGCACATGATTATTTCTACCGCTACCATTACAAATTAAATGAGCAATTTTCGCTTCAAATTATGAAGATTTTGAAACATAGGTTACGCCTGTGCGCACTCCTGAAATTGAGAAATACTGCGATTTTCCCCACAAATTTCGCCTGTCTCGGCAAAAAAAGGCAAGTATTAGAAAGAGGAGAAAAATCTGCATCGAATGGTGACTAAAATGTAAAACATTTTATGTTCTACGAGATCAAAATAGGCTGAATGTATAACTCGGTCACTTCAAAAAATAGATCGTAGAAATTCTGAAAGACAAGCTGTAGGGCTACAAAAAATTGCATAAGTTGGCAAAAGGTTAGCCCTATCTGCTGGTTATTAGGGCTCCTTCGAAAGTCTCATACAAAAATTTTGAAAATTAGCGAAATTTGGACATGGTAAAAACGAGTGGTTGATATTTGCAGCAAATATCTCGTTACTCTCGCAACGAAACACACTGGGAATTTAGCAGTTGGAAAGAGGAAGAAATTCTGCATCGGACACATTTTGAAGTCTTTGTTTAGCTTCATTCTAGCGTGATTGCCGATGGATTGAAAAAACCGACAAAACTTTTGCACCGACCTAATAGTAAGAGAAAATGAGATAAAATGATTTTATTTTTTTTCTCCTTCGATAAGATAAATTCTTCCTATTTTTCTTTCCTTCTCCTTTCAGTAAGATAGGAAAAAATAATAATAATTTAATTTTTTTATTTCATTTTTTTCTCTCCCCTCTCTTCCCCCAAAATACAGAAACAGGAAATTAATAATAAATTCAATTTCTTTTTCTTCCATTTTTTCCTTCTATATAGCAAAAACTAATGTTTAAATTAAAAACTTACGGAGAAGGGGCTAATGGATCGGCACAATTCCTCCAACGTTGGAGTGGAGGAATTCCGTACGACTCCTTGCTGCTTCACGAGCTGCAAGCTCGGCCTGTCTCTCAGCATCATGAGAGGCAGAGCTGCTGGTTCCAGAGGTGAACATTTTTCGATGTTGGGAGGTTTGTTGAGGTAGTATCTGAAAAGGAAATAAAATAGGACGGCTAAAATCACAAACCTGAGCAGAGCTTTTTCTAGAGCTGTTGACTGTAAAGGGAGCAGAAGTAAGTATGATGCCTAACTTATGCAATAATATTGGGCGTATAAGGGTTGTAAATTTACATGTCACAGGGCTTACCAGAGCGTCCTCCAGAAGCAGACTTCGCCATTGGGCAAAAAAGGCAGCAGCGGCCCATTTACTGCAACTACAGCAATAACTAGTTTATAACTAATATTCATATTTATACAGCAGGTTGCCCCTGCGGCCTCTTCCCCTTTTCCCCACTCCCCTATATTTATCTTAAATAATAAATATTAGTAAATAAGACTTATGTACTTACCGCTACACATCAGGTAAAGGACCTGCAGACCTTTAACCTGACATGGAGGACCCGGGAAGATTTGAATTTATCCCCCTCCCTTTCCCTCTTCGTCTCCAACGAATTGTCGACGGACACAAACGAACGAATTAGTGAGTATTTTTTTACACATATCGACACTGTTCTATTAAAAAGAATGTCTAATCCTTTCAGAAAAATAAAATATGTACAAAAATCACCTAATATTTGAAAAAAAAAGTCCTGCGAACAGTCCCAACGTCGATCAAAAAATTTCCTAAATCTAGATTTGTAACTAATAAAATAAATTAATCCGAGAACCAAGAACCGAGATTTCGATTTTCTTTCCCCCTTTCTTTTTGAAACCGGATTTTTGGAGTAACATCCATGATTTTTTCCCCTCCCTTTTTGCAACCGCAAAATTTTTGAAACCGCAAATTTTTTTTTATTCTCCTACTTCGTCATTATAAATATAATCCCTGCTATTTTTTCCCGAGAACCGAGATCCGAGATCCGAGATTTTCGAAAAGTTTTTATTTTTTTTTCTCTTCTTTTAATTTTTTTAGGTCTAAGTAATCATTAAAAAATGGTAATTACGCTTCAGACAGTGGACTTGTTCGCTTAGCTAGCTCAAAATTAAACCTAAGGTATACCTAAGCCCTACATAAATATTTTTATTTATGCTAGGCCCTTCAATTAATCAAATTGCTATTACACCTAGCTTGGAATGTTGACCTCCGGAAAAGTTTAAACCGCGCAACTGTCCACACGCGCTTATCCCCCAGGAAATTTACGAGCGCAACTGCTATCAACATTAAATAAAGCAATTAATTTGGCGGCGCGCATCAACAAGGATTATTTACGACCCCCCTAATATTTCCTAACGGCTGTGACCCCACCAACTGTGGCCTACACTTTGATTACAACATTATTTTGGTACAATAAATTACACACTTATAATAAGTAGTTTATTCAAAAAAAACAGCAATAAATTAAAATAAATTACAAACACTGTAAATCCGCTCGATGTATTTGTATTTTTTTCCGCGAGCCTTGCACGCTTCTTTCAGAGAATCGCAGTGCAGATTTTCCAACTGCACCTCGGAAATCCCCCCCCCCCAAATTCCTCAGTAGGAATTTGGCGAAATTTTCCGGCAGTGGAGCTGCTCGCCCATATTTCACCATCCGAAATGCGCCCATGTGCACGCGCACCCAGGGATGGTCCGCGCGCCATAGTTGTCCGGGCGGTGAAGGTTGAATCTCTTTCGCTGGCCCCTCATAGGGGCTGAAAAGAAAATTTTTTTATTACCTGCCAAATTAACAAAAAATTTTTTGGTGTTTTCCACTTAAAAAAAATAATAATAAAACAAAAAGAACCCACCGAAAAAGAACTCGTCCCGGTCGGTGGTCACGCGGACCATGCCTTCACCGTGCGTGATGATTTCTATAAAGGTTTCCACCACGTTCCCCTTCTGGAGGAAGTGGTGGAGTAGTTCTTCCTCCTCCTCCGGATGCAGGGCGCGGAGCTTGGCCCTGTGCGCTTCGAGGGCCTTGGGCAGCACGTTGTGTACTGTCCGTAAATCCTCACCATGCGGGTGAGATTCTAAATATACGTAATTTTAAAAAAAAATTTTTCCTACATAAAAATGAATTAGAAAAAAAAATTTTTTCTCCTAATTTGAATCAAATTTATTATTTTTTTCAATCAAAATAAACATACCCTTTCGTGCTGCTTGCATACGGCCTGCGTTTCCTTCAGCTCGTTGGTGTGCACGCCTCTGCTCCATTGCAGAGCGTCGACCTGCCTCCTGGCGACGCTCAGCTCCCCCTCGAGCTGTTGGATTCGTTCCAGGGACTGAGTTGCATTCAACTCAGCCCTGACGGTGGCGTTATATAACGCCACCGAATCCACACGCTCTCCCAGAGGAAGGAGGACTAGAGGCCTCCACATCCTCTCCGAAGCATTCAGGCTGAAAAAGCATACAATAAAATAGAATCAAAGAAGATAAAATAAAATTATTCAATCCTTTTCTTCCAATTAATCAAGATAGAATTTAAAAAAATGAGATAAAATAATCTTTTGCATTTTCTTTTCGAAAACCACACTACAGAAGAAAATAAAACGAAGTGATTTTTTTCTTCACTTCCAAAAGAATGAAATTATTTTTATTCTTCTCTTTCGATAAAATAGGATAATCTTGATTTTTTTCTCTTCCTCTCTTTCGACGAATTAAAAACAATTTTTTTCCTCCTCTGAAAAGCATACAGTAAGAGAAAATGAATTAAGATGATTTTATTTTTTTTCTTCTCCTTCGACAGTAAGATTGAAAAATAATAATAACAATAATTTTATTGTTTTCTTATTTTCATCTTTTCCCCTCTCTTTCCCCAAAATCCAGAAACAGGAAATAAAATAATAAATTTAATTTCTTTTTCTTCCATTTTTTTTCTCTCCTTCTACACAAAAAAATGTAAAAAATTAAAAACTTACGGAGAATGGGCTGATGGATCGGACCAATTCCTCCAACGTTGGAGTGGAGGAATTCCGTACGACTTCCCTTGCAGCTTCACGAGCTGTAAGCTCGGCCTGTCTTTCAGCATCATGCGAGGCAGCGCTGTTATTCCCGAAAGTGAACATTTTCGAATTATGAAGGATTTGTTGAGGTAGTATCTGAAACAGGAAATAATATAGGACGGCTAAAATCACAAACCTGAGTAGAGCATTTTTTAGAGCAGTTGACCGTAAGAGGAGCAGAGGTAAGTATGATGCCTAGCTTATGCAATAATATTGGGCGTATAAGGGTTGTAAATTTACATGTCACAGGGCTGTAAATTTTACCTTACCAGAGCGTCCTCCAGAAGCAGACTTCGCCATTGGGCGAAAACGGCAGCAGCGGTCCATTTACTGCAACTACAGCAATAACTATTATAACTATTCTTATTCATATTTATAATTAAATACCATTGTATTTATAGAATATATATATTGATATATATTTTTAAATACACCAGATCATTGATTTTACACTTTCCTACTGTAGTGGCTAGCCCCGCAGTGTAATTTTCCTGTTGACCCGCCCCCTTCGGCGTAACCCATAGAATCAATTTCGTCCCTCATGCTAAAGTTCCAAAACAGAGACCATATCGTGTCCCACTGGAAAAGCGAAACGAAATTAAGCGTCAGATTGATGAAATGTTACGTACTCGTATCATTGAACCAAGCACCAGTAAGTTCGCTTCTCCCATAGTTCTTGTAAAGAAAGTATCCAATAAGGATCAGTGGCGTTTTACTGTTGACTATCGCCAAATCAATGCTATCACAGAAACTGAAACCTATTGCATACCACATATGCAAGATATTTTAGATCTTGCTAGTGGCAAAGAAATTTACAGTGTCCTTGATTTCAAAAGCGGATTTTTTCAAATTCCTTTAGAGAAAAAGCACAAGGAACGCACTGCATTTTCTTTCATAGGCTTATTTCAATTTACTGTCATGGCGCAAGGATTAAAAGGTGCACCAGGAACTTTTCAACGAGTCGCAAATTCTTTAATTGGAGAATTGAAAGCTTGTTGCTTTGCGTATATTGATGATATCATAATTGCTAGCTCCAATGTACCCGAACATTTTTGCGATTTGGAAGAAGTTTTCACGCGCATAGAAAACTTTGGGATGAAACTAACTCCTGAAAAGTGCTCATTTTTTCAATCTGAAGTGCAGTATCTGGGCTAATAAGTAAAAATGGTACCCGCCTTAATCCCAAAAAGGTAGATAGCATACGAAAAATCACGCCCTACGGACACCAAAGCGCTTAAATCATTTCTAGGAGCCGCATCTTACTTTCGAAGATTCATCCCCCGTTTTGCGATAACAGCAAACCCCTTGAACAATCTTCTCATAAAAGATGCAGCGTTTAACTGGAAGGAGGATCATGAAAAAGCATTCCAAGCACTAAAACAAGCTCTAGTGGAAGCGCTTGTTTTAGTACCTCCCATGTTAGGAAACCCCTACATCATCCACACCGATGCATCAACCATCGGTCTCGGCGCATGCCTCTTACAAGTTAATCCGGAAACTAGTAATGAGCATCCCATTGCATATTGCAGCCGCCCCCTAACAAAACACGAGAAGAATTATGCGATCATAGAGTTAGAAGCCCTGGCAATAGTTTTTGCCTTGAAACACTTTTATCCTTATGTGCGAATAGTTCCATTACCTTGATAACTGACCACGCACCATTAAAATCTTTAATGCATAGGTCAGATCTCGTGGGTCGTCTCGCTAAGTATCAAATAACCTTACAAGCGTACGATATCAAAATTGAGTACCGTGCTGGAAAGCACAACACTCTATGCGATTTTCTAAGTCGCTACCCGATTGTGAGTACAAATTCAGTGCAGATCAATACATTGCCTACACTAGACCAAATTCAGCAATCTCAGAGGAATTCCATTTATGGAGATCTTATCAAATTTTTGAAAGGCGAATTAGATATTCCACCGCCAAAATTTTCTGACACGTTGGGCAGATATTCCTTCTATAACGACTCTCTTTACTACACTTTTTATAACACATCTCGATTAATTATCCCTGATAGTATACTTCAAGATAAAATTATTGAAATTTTCCACACCAATCCACTTTTAGGCTCACATCTAGGCGTACGAAAAACTATGAAAGCCATTTCAGCTGAATATTTTTGGGATAAGTTAGAAAATAAAGTCGCCAAATTTATAAGAAAATGCCTCACATGTCAGAAAATAAAAACACCCTCCGGTAACATCATTCAAGAGGAATTGGCATTCCCAATCCCTCAAAGACCTTTTGAACGGTTGCATACTGACATAATTGGACCGTTACCGCAATGTATCGACGGTAACAAAATTATTTCGATTACCGTTTGTGCCTTTAGTAAGCTGATAATCTGTACTCCAATCCCCAACCAGACAATAGATTTTGTTGTCAAGGCTTTGATAAATGATGTCATAGCCAAACACGGAACACCTAACGAACTAGTGTCCGATCGTGGTTCTAATTACACTAGTGAAATGTTTGTGAAAATGAACCGCATACTGGGCATTTCCAACAATTTCACTACTAGTTACAACCACAAAGCGAACGGCCAGGTTGAAAGGATGGTTAAGGTTATAACAGACTCCCTAACGGCTTATTGCGCAGAAGTCAAGGAACTCTGGTCTGATTTCTTACAGCCGATCGTCTTCGCCTATAACACTAGTATCAATGACACCACAGGTTATAGTCCGTACTTTGTTGCGTATGGACGTCACCCGATTACCTGGTGCGACATAGTCCATCAATTACCCTCGAGGATCCTACGCAACTGATAGTTTCTCGGACCAGCTGACCACTGCACTGCAAACCACAATTATGGAAGTTGGCAACCAGATCGCCAGCAAAACAGTGACGTATAAGTCAGGTTATGATTTCCATAATAAAGTTTATTCTAAGGAAATTTCCACTGGAGATTTAGTTTTACTAAGAGACGACACCATTCGTCCAAAATTCACATACCACTGGAAAGGCCCTTTTATGGTTGTGCAAGTCAATCGTCCGAATGTCACTATAACTAACTTGATTGGATCTACTAAAACTCAATGTGTCCATATGAATAGACTCAAAATCTATTCGCATAGTTCAACATTGGCTAGAGTTTCCCCCCAAAAACTCATTATATCACATAAGCCAACGGAAACTCCAGAAAATGTTGAACAAACTCAGTTTGCCAAACGAACTCCTCGTTTGCAACTGAAGAAATCATTTACAGCGGATCCAAACATCGATTCCGAAGGAGAGGATGAATAATTGCTCGCTAAATTTTTTATATCCATTTGATATTTTGCAATGAGTAGTTATCCATTTTCTAAAGTCAGTTTGTTTCCCCTATTTTTGCTGCACCGTCGCGTATTTACGTACCTTAAAATTTTCTTTGAACAGGCAATTCAAAGAAATCTTTCGCACTAGGCAGCTCAGCATCAAAAACCTTTTTGTAACAAACAAATTTTGCCCTTATGTTGAATGAAAACAAAGTGTGCAGTGCCCAATTCAACATACGAACTCGTTACGCCTCTGTTTTACATGCAATTATCCACAGAAAATGTCACTGTGAACAAAATTTCGTAATTTTGTAAAATTACTATTGAATTATGTTTTATAATTGCCTAGAAATTGCTGTTAAAATTTATCTGCGTATATGTATCATGCATTTATTACCATTATTACCACCGTGAAACAATTTGCTGTTAACCAATTTTTTTCCTCATACCTTCTACTTCGTATGTTCAGTAATTTCATACTACAATTTTCTACATGCTGTAAACTCCGCCCCAAATGTTAAATCATTTGCCCTCCGATCAACTCCATTTTTACCAAGCTCTAAAATCAATCGGTCCATCTCCATTTCCTACAATTCCACTCCAACTCCTTCCCAGCATCACGCCGGGAACCCCATTCACATCAACTGCATCTCTCCGCAGTTCCTCCCCCTCTCCTCAGCTACCTTCAAGCTCGAGGACGATCTCACTCAACGCCATAGGATATTCTAGGTGAAGGTCGTGTCTGCTCGCAGTCCATCGGATCCATATCCTCACTTCTGTATGTGTTTTAACATATCATCACGCCAGCTGTACGTTCTCGCCGTAAATCACGTGTAAATTCCAACACACGTTACCCGGAAGAACTTCTGCCATATTTCGATATATCACACTTCAATTGTATGTTCTCGCCGTAAACTACGTGCACACTTCAACGCACGTCTTCAACGCTCGGAAGAACATCCACCACATCAACGCCAACCACTACAACGTCTCGAAACCTCAGCCATGCCACAAGCTCGAGGACGAGCTTCTCGAAGGAATGGAGATGTCGGGTCCACATCAGCTGTCCCTCCCCTTGGAGCGGGTTGTAAAGCCCGCTGGAGGACAGTGACCCCCGACGACCGCTACCAGCAGGTTGCCCCTGCGGCCTCTTCCCCTTTCCCCACTCCCCTATATTTATCTTAAATAATAAATATTAGTAAATAAGACTTATGTACTTACCGCTACACATCAGGTAAAGGACCTGCAGACCTTTAACCTGACAAATTAAATACCATTGTATTTATAGAATATATATACAATGATACATATTTTTAAATACAGAAGGTCATTGATTTTACACTTTCTTACTGTAATGGCTAGCTCCGCCCACCCAGTGTAATTTCTCTGTTGACCCGCCCCCTCCGGCGCTAGCTCGGACCATTCCGCTCTTGGTGCCCACACAGTTTGGTCGTCAAGTCTCTCTCTCTTCGAAGTCCTCAGCTCAGCCACATCTACCGTAGCCCAGCAACCAATCAAGCCTATCCATCTACCGTATCTTGGACGAACGACGAATAGGATAGAGATGCGATTCTATTGCTAGATTCTTATTTTTCTTACCTTTTTCTTACATTTTCTTCCTCTCGTTCCATTCTCAGGGCTATATAGACTTCTAATATTGAAGTTAAACTTTAGTAGAATCAAAAAGTTTTTGAAAAAAAATTTTTTTCCTTTCCCAAATTTTTTTTTCTTTTCTTTTCTCAGCTCAAAGTTTTCTGCGCTTTTTTTGAAAAAATCCAACGAACAATTTTTTCTGTGATAGATTTA